CTCTTCTATTATATGTGAATATCTTCTCAATTCTTTGGCCTTGCTCTTCACCTTCTGGTATACCTATAACTCTGATATCTCCTTTCCTCATGGTGTCAGCTCTTGAAGTGTTTCCTTTTCCTTTTTACTTCTTTTTCTGTTTTGATTTTATTTCTGTGTCTTTGAGTGTGCTAATTTGTTCTTCCATCTCATCTATTCTGTTTTATTACTTTTCCCAGCATTCTTTATTTCTTCTAGTGGCCTTTGCATCCCCTGCATTTCTTCTATTTTCTTTTCTTTTTTTTTTTTAAGGATTTATTTATTTATTCATACAGAACTGGGGTACAGACCAGAGATGTGGAGGGTGAGAGGTTTCACCAGAGACAGAGCAGAGCAGGGAGCAGAACAGGCAGATCGACGAAGTACACTGCTGAGGGGAGCAGCGGGCAGGTCAGGAGAGGTCTGCCACGCCATGTGGTCACCTCCGGGGCAGGCGGGAATCGAACTCATGCAGAAGTGGCTTAAGCTTCTTAGTGCAGTGCTTTAACCCGCTGCGCCACCAGGGAGGGCCCTCTATTTTCTTTTTTAAGGTCTCATTTTCTTTCTTCAATTAATTGCTTGCCTCATGTCGTTTTTTTTCTTTTTCATTTCTTTTATTCATTCCCTAGTTTGCATACTTCAATTCCTTGTTTGCATTCTTTTATTCCTTGATAGCTTGCCTCATATAATTTTTCCCTCTTCTTGTCTTTTTTTTTATCATGATGATTTTGAGTTCTATATCTGGTGAATGAGTAGTTCTTCTATTTCTTTGGTGATTTCTGGTGACTGATCTTTTTATGGTGAATTCTCCCCCTGTGGACTTGTTTTGGTATTTGTTTGTCTTCTTTTCCCTGTCATGTATTTTCTAATACTTTCTATTCATTGAGACACAGTATTGTTATTATTGACCGGCATTCTTCCTGGATGTTCTTTCTGGAATGACCTAGATTTCCAGACACTTCAGTTGTGGAGGATATTCTGAGCTGTGCTTTGTTTCAATATCTCCTATTTTTCCAGCCCCCACTGTGTGGAATTGTGTCTGTTATCTCAGCCAGTGACAGTCGGGTCTCTTCTGGTGTTCAGCTTCTTTCAGTAACACAGTGAGTTCTAGTTTCTGGAAGGTGCCTGTTGATCTTTGTAGCCTTCTGATGTCCCAGCTCCCCTCTATGGGTGGATGTGCCCATGGGAAATGTAGAGCATTATAAGTGTTGTAGGTCTCCCTGTAGCTGGGTCTGTCATTGAGCCAGTTATGATTTTGTTTACTTTCTGAGCACTGTGAGCCTTGCAGGGCAGTGCTTTACTGGCTCACAGGCCTTGAGGCCTCTGATGTGAGCACAGGGGAAACAGGGATGCAGGGAGTACCAGAAGTCTCCCAGTGGAGACTCCCAGGGAGGCCTCAGCATCTCCAGGGTTCTTTGTGCCCACTCAGAGCAGTCTCTCCCTGTACAGTCTTTCCCTACCACTTGGGGTCCACTCACACAGTTTAGTTGTCTCTCTTTAACTTCAGGCCTTTAATGCAGGTTTTGTGGGTAGATGTGTTAAGCAAGTAGACCAGTAGCAAGTCTTCCATCTGAGGCACTTCCTTGGGCCTCTCTATGCTAGGATATGCCTGTGGAGGGTTGGGGGAGTGTTAAAAGTGTTGCAGCTTCCCAGGGTTGGTCCTGTGGTTGATTCCATCTAAACGTTTCCTGCCCCCCCCCTTTTTACCTCTGGGGCTTTGTGAGACTTGCTGGTCTCCACCTTAATGGTGCAGAAGTTTCCAGGCCTCTGTTGTGGCAGTGGGGGATGCAGGGAATGCTGGAAGGGCTGCAAGCCTCGCTGCTGCCCCAGTTGCCAGTTTCAGTCCTCACCTCTAGGGCTCTATGTGTTCATCCCAGCAGTCTTTCCCCTCAGTTTAGGTTCCACTCACTGAGCTGAGTTGTCTCTATCTCCAGGGCTTTAGCACACTGAAGAAGCAGCAAGCCTCCTGTCTGAGGCACTTCCTAGCGCTTGGGTACCTCAGCACTCTCGGATCAGAGCGCCCCAATCACTGAGTCTCCCTCAGTTATCTACTTTCTAGTGAGTCCAGGATGCTCTCATTTGGGTTGAAACTTGTAGTATGTAAGTCTACAGTTCATTTTTAGTCTTATATTCTTGTGTGAGCTTGGATGTTGTGATTCGGCATTTTCACTCTGCTGCCATCTTGCCAGATCCTCTGTATGTAGGATTTTTTTCCAAACCATTTATTTTGTTTATCATTGGAGCTCATATGGGTCTCCTGAAAACAGCTGAATGTTTTGTTTTTTTGACCCAATTTGCCACTCTCTCCCTTTTGATTTGTGAGTTTAGTCCATGTCTTGGAATAGGTCTACATGTATTGGGTAAGGAACAGAATCACAAAAAGACAAACAATACAAATACAGATGCTATCGTGTGTATTTCCTTTTCCCTTTATTTAGGACATTTCTTCCCTTTATTTTGAGTGATATTGATAAAGATCTGCTATTATCGTTTTGTCATTGGTTTCAGGTTCTATTTTGTTTATTTTTTGCTGTTATTGATTTCTGTCTTATTTAATTAAGAGATTTCCTTTCAATATTTCTATTGTAGGGAAAGTACTGGCAATTCCTATTTGTGTGGGAAGGTCATTATTTCTACTTCATGACTGAAGGAGAGCTTTGCAAAATATAGCATTTTTTGCCTGGCGGTTCTTAATTCTAAGTAATTTGATTATGTCATGCCACTTTCTCCTTGCTTGTAGGATTTTCTAAGAGAAATCAGATAAAAACATGACTGACAAATCTTTATAGACTTCCTGTCTTTTTTCCCTGATAGCCACATTCCATATTCTTTTTTTTGCACTGAACTCCTGATAGTTTCATAACTACATTTCTTGGAATAGGACTACATGTGTTGGGTAAGGAACAGAATCACAAAAAGACAAACAATACAAATACAGATGCTATCATATGTGTGTGTGTGTGTGTGTGTGTGTTTCCTTTTCTTCCCTTTATTTGGGACATTAAGTAAGTTTTATGTTCCCTTGTCCTCTTTCTTTCTGGAATACCCATTATCCTTATTTTTTGAAAATTCCCCTCATTTCCCTCCTCTAGAGCATGTCTTATTTCTCATTCAATGTCGTCCCATTTCTTAATTTTTTTCTTAGTTTATTGTCAATGTGTTGTTTCTTAACCTCCAATAACTTTCAGTAAGAGGGTACGAGAAGTATATGTTGTAAGGCCTTGCATGTCTAAAATTATCTTTATTCTAACTGCCCATGACTTGGCTGAATAAATGTATCCAAGTTCAAGACCATTTTCCTCCTGAATTTTGAAGGCTTAGCTGTATTGTTTTCTTCTTTTCAAGCTGTCGAAGAGAAATCTAAGTCCATTTTGATTTTTATCCATATATATATGTATGTATATATATATATATATATGTGTGTGTGTGTGTGTGTGTGTGTGTGTGTGTGTGTACTCTGTTTTCTGCAGTCCAGAACTGGCTTCATTGAATGTGGCTTCATTGAATGTGTTTCCCAATAAGTGAAAATGAACTGGCTTCATTGAATGTGTTTCCCAATATATATATGTATGTATATATATATATATATATATGTGTGTGTGTGTGTGTGTGTGTGTGTGTGTGTGTGTGTACTCTGTTTTCTGCAGTCCAGAACTGGCTTCATTGAATGTGGCTTCATTGAATGTGTTTCCCAATAAGTGAAAATGAACTGGCTTCATTGAATGTGTTTCCCAATAAGTGAAAATATACTTATGCTAAGTATAAGTGCCTTAGCATAAGTATATTTTCACTTATTGGGAAACACATTCAATATGAAAACTCTAGCCAATAACTATGGGTCAATTTATGATTTTTCGTTGTTATCTCTTATTTTCATTTCTGTTTTCTCTATTTGAAACTCAATCTATGGTTATTAAAACTTAGGAACAGCTTTCTAAATATTCTCTTTTCCATTTATCGTTTTTTGCTATATTGGTAACAGAACTGCTAAACATTATCTTACAATCCTCTGATTTATTTCCACTCTATTTTTTATATAGTCTCATGTTTATTTCAACTGAATCTCTTAATATGTGAATAATTGGTGGAGAGAGGGTTATCAGTGGATTTTCTCCTTTGCAAAATAAGAGCAGTTTCTCTTTTGTCACCTTCAATGTCAAAGGCTCTCATCAAACTGGTGAAACTTATATATTTGTTTATAAATAAAGAGTAAGAAATTAAAAACCCTGTAACTGAATTTGTGGTTGGAGTTTGGTGACTCAGAGTTACAAAGAAATCCACAACAGACCTTTTCATTAGTGCTACTCAGAAAACTCCTGGAAATAGTATTTCAGTCTCCTAGATGGAGATTATAACTCTGTAAACATAGAAAAAAGAAATCAGGCAGAGGGTGGGGATGGAACAATTCTCCTCTTAAAATCAGAATATATATATTTACTATTCTTCTTTTTTTATTGTGGTTATAGCTTTCCTTCCTAGGATTATTTCCAACTTCTAAGCAGACATTATCTTTGTGATTTGGGAACAAAAAAATTGAATTTCCCAAATAACTCATTATCCTATATCTTTTATAGGCTTTCATATGCATGTTTTTAAATAATGATTACCATAATACTATCAAGTGAATCACTTTTCTCTAAGATTATAAAAATTTCTAAAGTTTTATTTTAAAAATCCAGGAGTAAATACACATATTCTCATTATAAGTCAACAGACTGTTCTAAGATTATGTACTGCACAAACGTGCAAAAACTGTCCTTACATGAAATGGACAAGGGATGCTAAAAGACATTAGCAGGGAATGGAATCAAAATGTCAAACTACAAGTTTCTACTGGCATCAAAGAACACCAATTACAGAAACCATCTATGGACAAGGGAGACTTTATGAAAGTCTACATAGAAACACTCTATTATACCATTAAAGCAAAAACGTCCAATATTGTATGCATTGAGGAGGAAATGAGTAAATGTTTAACTTACCACATCAACCCTCCCAAAATGGGGCACAGGCCAAGAGAGACCTTCTCAGTCAGTAACTCTTCCTGCAGGCAAAATGAGAGCATATAAGTGCTTAAGTTTCTCTGGCTGTGTAGGATGCTACCAGAGGTTTATTTCTCTGGCCTTATCCGGAGTACTGAGATATAAGCTGCAACAAGAGAGGTAAATGAGTGACCAAACAACAACAAAAACCCACAGACAGGGCTGAGGTTGAAACATATCAAAGTGATGTAACTAGTTCAGACCCCATCAAAATGTCCACCCTAGTGAGCTGCTAGAGACCTCACTATGGAAGCCCAAAACTAGCCCATGAGAGCTCCAGTGCTCCATGTACTTCATTCATACACTCTCTTTTTGTGGATAGCTCTCCACATGATCTACAAAGCATGTAGAGAATGCTTTTGTAAATAGCTAATGGGTATGTTGAGAAAATGCAAGAGAAATCACAACATTGAACATTCAACACCACACTCATGAAAGCAAATGGGAGGCTGTTAGTAGTTAGACAAGTATTGTTCTTAAGAGAAAGCACAAAAACAATAATTCTGTCACGTGGAAACAATAAATGTGGGGTAAAAAGATAGATCTGGGCCCTCCCTGGTGGTGCAGCAGGTTAAAGCACAGCACTGAGAATCTAAAGCCACATGAGTTCGATTCCCGCCCGCCCCGGAGGTAACCACATGGAGTGGCAGACCTCTTCTGACCCGCCAACTGCTCCCCTCAGCAGTGTACTTTGTAAACTGCCTGTTCTACTTCCCACTCTGTCTATGGTGAAGACTCTCGCCGCCCAAGCCTCTGGCCTGTACACCAGTTCTGTATGCACAAATAAGTCTTAAAAAAAAAAAATCTGAAAATTTCTCAGAATCACTAACAGAACTGAGAAAATGTATTTTTATCCCAAAGTATGTCAAAAAAAGACTGGGTGAGATAAATGTTTCTTCAAAAGTGAAAAAAACACAAGACACTGAAGAAGCCTAAAATCACAAAAAGAACACAATTTTCTAACATTCAAACCCAAAGAAATGGAGATCAGCAATTCACAAACTACGAAATTCAAAGTAGTTGTATAAAAATGAAATTAAATTAAATCAAGAAACATTTTTTTTTCTATTTTAGGTTTATTTAGGTATGCATACAGAACTGGGGCATAGGCCAGAGGTGCAGCAGGATAGGGGTAGGGGAGAGGGTGAGAGGACTCACCAGAGAGAGTAGGAATCAGAACAGGCAGATTTACTGCACAGAAAGGAGCCAGCAGGTGGGCAAGACAGGAGAGGTCTGCCAAACCATATGGGTCACCTCCTTAGAGGATCAAACCCATGTCACAATGGCTGCAAATAGCATCATGTGCTGGGCTATTTGTCCCACTAGCTACCAGGGAGGCCCCAGGAAACAAAGTTTAAAAAAAAAAGGTTACTAATGAAGAAACAATTTTTAAAAATGCTGGAGCTGAAGAATATAATGAATGAGATAAAAATTCAACCGAAAATGTATATCAGAGAGAATACATACATAGTAGGAGACTTCAACATGCCACTCTCAACAATGGACAGATCAACAAGACAAAAAATAAGTAAAGATACTAAACCTCTGAACAAGGACCTGGACAACATGGGTCTAGTGGACATCTATAGAATACTGCACCCCAGAAAATCTGAGTACACATTTTTCTCAAATCCACATGGATCATCCTCTAGGATTGACCACATACTGGGCCACAAGATAAACATCAATAGATACATTAAGATCAAAATCAACCAACTATTTTCTCCGACCACGAAGGAATCAAACTAGAAATAAACCATATGGAGAAGGCAAGGAACCCACCTACCATGTGGAGACTAAAACCCACACTACTGGAAGACCATAGGATCAATGAGGAGATCAAGGATGAAATTAGAAAATACTTGGAGAAGAATGACAATGACGACACAAGTCTCCAAAACATATGGGACACATTAAAAGCAGTTATAAGAGGAAAATATATAGCAATTCAAGCTCACATAAAGAAACAAGAAATAGCTGAAAGAAACAACCTAGTGTCCCACCTTAAAGAATTGGAAAAAGAACAGAATAACCCAAAAGCCAGCAGAAGACAAGAAATAATCAAAGTCAAATCAGATATAAATGAAATGGAAGTCAGGAAAAGAATCCAAAAAAATCAATGAAACCAAAATTTGGTTCTTTCAAAAAATAAACAAGATAGACAGGCCACTGGCCAGACTCAGAAAGAAAGAACAAGAGAAAGCACAAATAAACAGAATCATTAACGAAAGAGGAGAAATCACAACAGACCCAGCAGAAATCAAAAGAATAATCAAGAAAATACTATGAGCAACTATATGCAAACAAATTGGACAATTTAACAGAAATGGACAAATTCCTACAACTCTACAACTACCCAAAGATAGATAAAGAAATAGAACAGCTAAAGAGAACAATTACAAACAAGGAAATAGAAGAAGTAATCAAAACCCTCCCCAAAAATAAAAGTCCAGGACCAGATGGATTTACAGATGAATTTTAACAAACATTCAGAAAGGAACTAGAGCCCATTCTACACAGACTCATCCAAAAATTTGAAAAAGAAGTAAAACAACCAGAAATGTTCTACGAAGCCAACATCACACTAATACCAAAACCTAACAAAAAAACACAAAAATAGAAAACTTCAGACCAATCTCCCCAATGAACACTGATGCAAAAATCCTCAAAAATATCTTAGCTAACAGAATCCAACAATGCATTAAAAGAATAATACACCACGACCAAGTGGGCTTTATCCCAGGAGCACAAGGATGGTTCAAAATCACTAATGTAAACCATCACATCAACTGACAGAAAAATAAAAACCACATAATCATATCAATAGATGTGGAGAAGGCTTTCAACAAAGTTCAACACCCATTTATGTTTAAGGCCCTTGAAATCC